ACACCGCAATGTCTGCAGCCTTGACGTGCAGCTCAGGGCAGCCATTTTCCCAGCGAAGAGTGCGCTTACGAAGTCTTTTACAAGACAAAGCTTTGCCGTTCGCAGCTGCATAGATCTTGAGATCTCGGTACAACTGGCTGAGCCGTTTCTGTAAATTGGATCCTGTGTAAAACATCTTGCCTTTGCACATAAGTTTGATGGCACTTCCCAGCACGTCTTGTGCCACTCCCAATGACCATGTGTGCATCCAGTCCACTTGAACCATGCGAAGATCAAACCCATCGATAGCAGCAAAAGCCGGCGGGTCCACCCACGGCGGCTCCACATCGGAAAATTCGGTCGCTGTCCAACCAGCATCAGCATTGATGTCAGTGTAGATCATAGCCGGATCGGACCTTGATGCCAAGCATTTGAAGCACACCTGCAGAGTCGAAATATTTTGACCAGCACGACCCTAACCATTAAACTAGACCGCATTGTAACCCAAACCACGAGCCCGCTAACATCTGCCAAAATGGTTGGCACAGTGCTGCGGGCCTTGTCAGTGCTCGAATTGCGCACGAAGTTGAAGCACTGGGTCAAATATTTCAGATCTCCACGAAAAGCCACCACAACAAAATAATAGGTTTCCTCAGATAAAACTGTAGGAGGTTGTGCTATGACTTGAATTAAGGCTTTTGCCATGTATCCCCATACATAACAACCGAATTTTACACCCACCAAAACTTCTTATGAGGGGCTATGTGTACACACACACACACACCCAAAACCTAGTACGAACCGGGTCTGTTGGGCAAGAATCTCCGGAGGTGGTTTCAATGCCTTTCTGCATCACTCCATTGATGTCGTTGGCCACTGCAGCGTTCAGTTGCTGGAGGGTCTCATTGGTTTTGCCTTGTATCCAGTACTTGCTAGCCAGAAGCGAGTAGATCATGTAGCGGGATGCCTTGCTGTGCTCGCGGAATATACTGAGATCAGCGGTCCTTAGATAGTCTGCGTGCCTATCTAGTCAAGATTAACTGCCAAAGCCGGTTGAATACTAGGGAGATCTCTACTCAATCTTTGATTTAGGATTGCAGCTTCAGCGGCCATGAAACCACCATCCACGAGCTGTTATTCAGGGTCCCCTCATCGCCCCAAAGGACTATGGGGATTGTGCAATGCCAGATATCTGGCTGCTGAGTAAGCCAATGTCCATTGAAGTCAGGCAGGAGTTGGGCCCAATAGGCTTCCAGATCTGAGCTCGATGGATACATGGAGTCCACAAAAAGCTCCTCAATGAGTGCCGTGGCCTCAGGTTAGATTGTGGCTTCTAGGGATTCAAGGGTTTGGGGGGTTGTTCAGGGCTTATATCACGGGTTTGCAGTGTAGGGTAGGGTTGTCTTGGCCAAGCAAATAAGAGCTTATGTGTGGGGGGCTGCGAATATTGGGTACTTTGGGAGCTACAAATCATTCGCAAATATGCTGGTCATTAAGTAAGCCAAAGCACCATAGAGGATGGCAGCACCACAGGACAGTGCTCAATGATGGGTTCTTCTTCCTCTCCACGGATGACTGGTGCAGCCACATAGGTGACTTCAGTCGGCAGTGCATACCCAGCTTTGCGAACTCTAGACATGTACTCATCCTCCCGCAGAGGACGACTCTCGTAACCGTGCAAGAGAGAACTGTCATAGGTGTCACCTGGGTTGTCACTTCAACGATCTAGCAACTTCGAGGGTTCTAGAAATCAAAAGGAACACGAAGACTGATTTAAGCACAAGGTTCCGAGGTCGCATGTCAGCTTTAGGCTCGCATCACCGTCAGTTGTCGCTTTGACTAGCCTCGGCTTTGCTGCAACTTCAAGCCTCAAAGCAGCTAAGCCAGAACATAAAAGCCGAGCAACAAATCATCGAGGCGCTCAGCAGTGGATTTGGATCCAGACGAAGGCTTGCCTGCGGGGGCCAGGGGAAGTTTGGTCTAGGTACTAGTGAATTAAGGTTGGGTAACACCAGGTGCAATATATTCCAGCTTATAAATAAGCAACCTTTTTCAAGCACGGCTGCCCCTAGGCTTCTTCTGCGATCACTCATACGGCTAGCGGGCCAGTATCAGTACCAGCACTCCCAGAAAGTAGTTTGAATATTGCGGCTGGTACTGAGCCTACGGCCCAAACCCCTTCCCGCTGCAACTCTTTTGCGGCAGGTTGAAAGCTGTTGAAGGCTGATCTTGATACACTTAACTCAGGTTTAGGGTTCAGGGTTAGGTTTAGGAGTTTAGAGCTTTGGGGTTGGGGTTGTTGCAGAAGGTTTTTGTCTCCGGTTAGGGTTATCTCGGGTTTAGGGAATCGAAGCTAGGGTTTATGGTTCTAGCACTGATCAGGGACAACAGCCAAACGGATCTCCGATGATCGTAATGTTCCCACTGCTAATGCAGAAGGCTCGGTATCAAAATGCGACGAAGAAGCCCAACTTGTACATGTTGATGTATTTATGAATCTAGCTAGTGTTTGGGCGACTCCATACGACGTACCGGGCTGCAGCAAATGCACTTCGATCGGGGCCCCGACAGACAAAGTGAAAACATCTACTATAGTACTCCTCAAACTTCAATCTTAAGCACCGCCCAACCCCGTGCATCCCTAGGCTGCGGTCACGGTCGTTTGCGAAGCTCCTTCAGGAGGCCACTGGCTTGCCCTTTGACAAGCTTCAGCTTCTCGATCTGTCAGGGGCAGATCAGAGTGCGGGAATGTTTTGAGTTTGGGTTTGAAGGGGGATGGCAGAGTAGGTATAGTGATAGTGAAATATCTGAAATGAGCCTCGTCAAAGGCTTCCTGGCACAGGTCGCCGAACTCCGGCCCGGATTTGAGCATACCCAGCCTGCAAGCCACCATGTGTGCACACATGTGTATGCGTATATGAACAGATCTCTCAGACCCCTACCACACTCCTCTGTCTCCCCATATCTCTCTTGCTCCCTCTGCTTTCGTTGAACATGAGTATCACACATGCCGTCTACACACATATACAGCCAAGTGGCTTCAGAGCCAATTTCTTAATCTTGGCGTCGTGGTCTTTGAGACTTTTGAGCAAGTCCGGGCAGTTGCATTGCTGCAAATCGAGGAGCAGGGTGCTCATCGCACCGATCTCCTTCTTCAAAGCTTGACCTGGGGTGCAACTCGATCATACCATACCCCCAGTCTCGATAGTTCGTGCCTATAATATCGACAAGAAGCTGAACTTGCTATGCTTCTCTTCGTCCGTCCGGAAACTTTCCTCGATGAGCGACTTCCTGCCAACAACCGAAGATGCGACCGATCTGGAAGGCCCACGGGTGGAGGCTGCTCCACGTCTGCGGCCACCAGCCGGCGGAGCAACTGGCAGGAGGAGTTGTCGGGTGGCTTAAGATTGGGGTATAATGGGTTTAGGTTGGTTAATTGTTTCGAAACGACAATGCTAGGGCTGCTTCTGTAGGTTCCAAAGAAGGCACTTTGGCTCCGAATTTGATTTCATATGGGTTGGAGGTATCGACTTGCTTTAAATGGTGACCACATTGCTCGGGGGGGCACCTCGCGAGTATGACTTCCTTCACGGGGATTAAGTTTCAATGGGTTGCCGGGTTTAAGAGTTGAGGTTTCGAATCATACAAGACTACATTGCATGAGGTTGATATATCCGGATAGTCGGGGATGGGTGGGGGTTTTGGCTAGAGCCGCTGTTGATTTAAGCGAGATAGGGTTTTATGCATAATGAGATTATGGCTACTGGATATTATAAACCCCAAACTCGCCACAACCGAACTCCAAAAAGCACGACCCAGGTCCCAGACCACAGCCTAGCATCAACACCGAGCCTTCATTGTCTAGCTGTGCCGAATGACAAACCCCACCCCACTCTACATTCATGACAACTACGGAAGTTGACTCGTAGGTTGCCTTGAGCAGCCTCGGCCAGATCTTTGTTGTAGTCATCAAAGGCACGTAGCACATCTCCCGACAACGGCTTGTTGACCGCATTCGAAGATTTGGCCCGTCGGAGTATCCCAGGCATGTTCTGATTGCCATTCGCGATGAGGCCATCTAGCATCCCCACAGAGCCCTGCATGTTGGCGTTCATCGAGGCTCGCATCCTGAGCTGATCATAAGGAGGATTGGAGCGCTTGTATGATAGCACACAAACATTTACTTTCGAGCGAGTGGCACTTGGCTTTCAGATTCTGTCTTGATACGTTTCACAACACACCAAAACCTGGTCTCCTCCAAACATCCCGGAGCATCCGGATCTTCCTCGCCATCGCCACGGCTGATTATGCTTTCAATCTTTCGTCTCAGTGCAGGTGATGCGTACCAACAGCAACTGAAGAGCTATCATTGCAGCAAGCACATAGCACATGCACTGCGTTAAATCAACACCGGGCAGCTTGCTGAACGAATACGGCGGATGCCGCATGTCCTTCACCGCAACCTGTTCCCACACCCGCTGTCCAAGAACCGAGCTCGTTCGCTCGAAGCTCAGCTTGGCTTCCATCTGGGCTGCATTGCCACCGAAAGTCACCCACTCTCGCAGGGCTTTGTTGCGATCCTTCAATTTAGGGTTTAGGGGTTAGGGAGTTAGAGGTTTAGGTTTTTGGGGTTTAGGGGTTCGCGGTTTAGGACTTAGGGTTTAGAGGGGTTGGGGTTAAGGTTGTAGTTGAGTAAGCCCAAGCATTTCTTAGTGTTGTAAGACCCATATGTAGAAATTGATTTGAAGTCCAAGCATCCTCGAGCGAGCCTTCCATGAGCATCTTGACGTTCGGGCACCCGTCGAACTTGCCAGCCTTGTAAAAGCGGTCCTCAGCATGTGGGAATAGGGCCTTCGACATCACAATAAAAATAGTTAAGACTAGGGGCCATCTTCATGTAAGCTTTCTTGTGTGTCGTGCTGTTGACAACACCTTCTCTCTCCTGACCCTCAACCTGACCAGCCGTGGCCGGCAGGGCCAGGAGTGCGGGCTTTCTTGCGGCCGGGGCTGGTGGCTTGGCAGCTGACGGCTTCTCGGGTGATTCAGCTGTTTGCTTGGACGGGGATGCGGGCTTTGATGCTGTCTTTTTTCGCTTGGGTGGGGATGCGGGCTTTGATCCTGGCTCGGGCTTGGCTGCTGCTGCCTTCGCACTAGACTCGGCTTCCTTGCTTTGCACCAAACCATCAACACGTCGAAGCAAGCCGCTTAGCTCCTCTGCGTAGCCGAGTTGGCTGGCACTGGGGCCAAGCCTTGGATCATGATTAGGTTTCAACTGGTAACATGGGGGTGTGTGGCTACATAGATAGTTTAAGGTTTCAGGCATTGGATTGAGGACAAGGGACGTTTTCAATAGATCCGACAAGTCAGATAGGGAGTCGCCTCGAGCAAGCGTGCCACGAAGTGCCGCCTCGCCCGCATAATTCAGGCTGTGTTGCCCGGCTTTGAAGGTGAGACAGGACCTTGTTTAGTTTGAATGATTGGAAGCATAAGTTGCACGATCGACCTAAACCCCTTAATCGATGCCTAGGCACTCGGGAGAATCCTGGTCATCATCCTTGTCCTCTTCTGGCTGCTCCTCCTCATCATGCTGTTCTGGGTGCTCCTCGCCATCATCCTCCTGCTGCTCCTCATCATTCTGTTCTGGGTGCTTCTCGCCATCCTCTTGCTCCTCGTCATCATCCTGTTCTGTGTGCTCCGTGTCATCATGGTGTTCCGAGTGCTCCTCCTCCTCATGCTGCGGTGCCAAACCATCGGAGTCATCACCTGGCTGGTTCCCTAGGTTCTCGAGCTGGGTGTCAGCTTCATCTGGATGCGGGGCCGGAGGTACCTTCTGATTTTTTCTTGCAGGCTTGGTCTTCCCATGCAGGCGGACTTTCGGGGGTGTGCGAGCGGTGATGGCCCTGCTCTTCGTGCTCTTTGCAGCATCCTCCTCCAAGCTCTCCTTTGCATTCTTGCGCTTCAAGGCTCTTTTCTTTGTCCTGCGGATTGTTGCAGCTTTCGACTTCGGGGTTGCCTTTTTCTTGGGTTCCGCTGCGATGTCTTCCTCCTCTTCCTGATTCTCTTCCTCTTCGTCCTCCTGTGGCTCTTCGGCGGTGCATGTGGCCTTGCTCTTGGCTTTCGGCGTGGCCCGGCTCTTTGGGGTGGCCTTTGGCAGATTGGCGGAATCCTGACTTTCATCAAATTCCTGTTCCTCCTCCTCAGGCTCCTTGGGCAGGGGCTTGGCATTTCCCTTGGCTTTGGGCTTGCCTCTGGTCTTGGGGCTAGCCTTTGGAGGCTTGGCAGGGTCCGGGGAATCGTGCTCCTCATCCTTGGCTTTCGGCGTGGCTCGGCCCTTTGGGTTTGCCTTGGAAAGCTTGCCAGACTTCGGTGAATAATCATTTTCCTCTTCCTCTGGCTCCTTGGGCAGGGGCTTGGGCTTGCCCTTGGCTTTCCCTTTTGGGCTGACTCGAGTCTTGGGACTGGCCTTTGGAAGGATGGCAAGGTCGTGCTCCTTGTCCTCCTGATCTGCCTTGGATTTCGGCGTGGCTCGGGTTGGGGGCTTGGCGGCCTCCGGGGAATCCTCTTTTTCCTCTTCCTCCTCCTGTGGCTCTTTGGCGGTGTGGCTGGCTTTGCTCTTGGTTTTGGGCGTGGCTCGGGTCTTTGGGGTGGCCTTCAACAGTTTGCCGGGATCCTGATTGTCAGATTCCTCTTCCTCCTCCTCAGGCTCCTTGGGCAGGGGCTTCGCCTTGCCCTTGGCTTTCGGCTTGCCTCGGGTCTTGGGGCTGGCCTTTGGAGGCTTGGTAGGGTCCGGGGAATCGGGCTCGTCATCCTCTTCCTCGTTCGGTGTCTCTTCGGCTTTGCGTTTGCGAGAGGTTTTGGAGTTTGCCTTGGCTTCGTTCTTTGCTTGCTCCTCAAACTCCTGCCTGACATTCAGAAAAACCCTTAAGGCATCCTCATAATTGAGCCGCTCACTGGTCATGAGCTCACCCAATGTCAGCGAGGTGGGTCCATTGAGACGTTCATCCAGCGGCACGGGCGGATTATCTGGCACCCCGGAAGACGACGAGGAGGCCACACTGAGAGTGCCACGTGTCTTCTTGGCTTTCTCACCCTTCTCAAGCTTCTTACTTTCTTTGAGATCAGCTATGCTCTTTCGCACAGCCAAGCCCTTCTTGAAGGATTCCCGGAGGGCCTTGTCAACCTCTTTAGCACCCATGATCAGAGATCGCAACAAAACCTAAACTCGAGCCAGATCTAGCACGTTTAGAACAGTTAAGTTCTGTGCAAAAAACCAATCACGCTTTCCCACGCTGAATAACGCACATTAGGGTGTATTATAACGGCCTTTTCACGCTTTATCCCGCTGAGTTTTCGGCCTTTTCACGCTTTATCCCGCTGAGTTTTCTTATCAGCAGCATCAGGCAGCAAAGGTTCTCCTCGGTAGCAATATAGACACAAAAGGCACACCCAAACACACTGATCCGGCATGCATGACAGTGCCAGCAAGAGTCACGAAAACCACAACCACCCAATTAAATCCATCGATCGAGATCGATTGCATGGAGCGAGGCATCCTCCTCACTTGCTCTCAGCTAGCTTATAAGCATTGCAAGCGATGCTGCAGGAGCCATGTGCTGCCTCCTGGATATCATCGGTGAGATCGATCGATCCCGCAAGCCCCACACGGGCCTTGGAAGAAAGGGCTTAACTACATTTTAATGTATTACTCAATTACAACCGGCCAGTATACTGGCCGATTGTAATTGAGTAATACATTAGTTTATATATATATATAGTAATAGTTGCTTAATGCAGAATAGCTTCAGGAGAGATATTTGGAGGGCCGGAACGTTTCGATTTGGTGCAGTTCCACTCTAAGCCCTGTATGGAGAGTCCGGGGTATTTCAGGATGTTTGGGGATTTGGTGTTATATAGTCTAAGCCTAGCAGAGTCCCGGTGCCTAGCTTAATCCGAATTAAGAGAGGTGTCGGTATATTTTGGGTCAGCATTTTTTCCTGTATCTCGCTCGGTGCCTGGTCTAAGCCAAAGAGGGAGGTGCCGGGATTTTACGGGTCGGGATTTTTCCGGTACGTGGTTCGGTGCCTGCCTAAGCTAAGAGATCGAGAGAGGTGCCGGGATTTTAAGGGCCGAGATATTTCCTGGGTCTCGTTCCGCCTGGTATGGTCTAAGCTAAAGAGAGGCGCCGGGATATCTCGGGATTTCTTTCGGTACCTCAGCCAAGAGAGCTGCCGGGATTTTTCGGGATTTTCGGGTCTCGTTCGGGGCCTATAGTTTAAACTAAAAGAAAGCTGCCGGGATATTTCGGGATATCTCGGGATCTCGTTCGGCGCCCGGCCGAGTCCAAAAGAGAGCTACCGGGATATTTCGGGATTTGGGTTGGTTCCTAAGCCAAGAGAGCTGCCGGGATATTTCGGTATTTTCGGGATCTCGTTCGGGGCCTATAGTCTAAACTAAATCTAGTTTAGGGATGTTTCGATGCCGAGCCTAAGCCAAAAGAGAGCTACCGATGCCCAGCCTAAGCCAAAAGAGAGCTATCGATGCCCAGCCTAAGCCAAAAGAGAACTACCGGGAAATTTCGGGATTTTGGTTGGTACCTAGTCGAAGCCCTTAAGAGAGCTGCCGGAATATTTCGTGGCGAATGCGGTTCCTAGCTAATCTGAGCCTTTAGGGCTTAGAAAGGGGTTCGAGGTTTTGGGATATTGCTGGGTTTCGTGCGATTTCCATTATCGGCACTGCAGATACTACCTTATAAAGGCATAAGGAGGGCGGGCCAGAGTATTTCGGGATCTTGTAGGTTGCTAGTGTACTTGGGCCGTGTGGGTTATGTACCATAACCTAAAACGACATATGTGGGGGATACTCGGTGGTTCGTGCAGTCCATATGTTAAAGCCCTTGAAACCTTCAAGCCGAAGTAGGAATGTTTGTGTAAAATCGCTATAAATTGCCCTTCCTAATCCCTCAGCCCCATAAATCCTAGGCCGGAAAAGATAGGTCCAAAAAAACCCCAAAGCCAAACCCGATGACCATCCTCAATATTAACCGAATTAAAGGATTTCGGGAGTTCGTTCGGTGCCTTGCTAGCCTGGACCAATATTTCGAATCTATATGGGGTTCCTGAGCCACTCTGAAATACCAGGACCCGGGGCCCAAATACACCGCAAACCTCCAAGCCCATAGAAAAAATCCCAAAGGCTTGGGCCCTGAACCCATCATTAAGTTCCTGCAAAACAACGAGATTCCCCAAAGCCTATATTAATGTATCCAGCCCACACACCCTAATACAAGCCCGAAGCTCTAACCCGTGAACCCGTTTTGCTTCTCTGCAGAAGCTAAGACCTGCACAAGACCTCCAAAGTCCCCTCAACACTACCCTGGCTATAGAGTACAATAATACAATCCAGCCAATATATTGGAACCCCGGACTAAAGTACTATTCCCTGGTAGCTTATCTAAGGCTGAGATTCGATCGAAGTACGTACCCGTGGATCGAGGGGCCTGAGCTGCAAGGACTTTCTGTGTGCTTATAGGCTTTAGTACTCTAGCTCGCAAGGCTCGCGAAGCTTGGGTTTTAGGGGGCTTGGGAATTGGCAGGTTTCATTAATTAGCTTATAAGCCAAGAGAGACTTGGACCGGGATTTTTCGGGGATGTGCTCGGGATTTCGGGTCCCAATAAGTAGGTGAAAGAAAGGATTTGTGCGGCTTTTCTTACAGATGTGGCCCGACGTATTTGGGGATTCGGTGGGGCTTCGCTCCTAGCAACAATCCCGATATACAAACCACGACAACCCAAAACATCCCAGGCCTACAGACTTTCTGTAGCTAATGCTTGCAGAAACAGCTCTGCCGGGTCGAGACTTTTCAGAGCGAAATCCTGAGAAAGTCCAGACCTAAGCAACTCCAAAAAAGCTTCCCTGTACTCTAGTTCTCTCCAAGCCCGTTGACACAGCCCTTCCGAGACCCCCGTCAAATCGAGAGAAATCCTGCAGTTCGGGAGAGTTGGCTGTCGATGTGCTATTCACCAAACGTACTTAATATACTGGCACTGCAACAACCTGCAAAGGAAATTCGGAGGCACATCCGTCGAAGCCAGCATTGATGAGCACACAGCCAAGACCCCAAACCTGTATTCCGAATCTATGCATACCCGAGCTGTGCCTGAAGCCCCTAGACATCATAGAACCGATCCCAGGCACTTTGATCAGATGAATCTCTGCAGCTCCTCACGGACCTTTTCCTTAGTTGGGAAGAACAGGAGGGTGCCCCGTTCAAAATTATGGCTGGGATCCAGGGTCGGGGCTTACTTTTCGGGTTTTTTTTAGCACTCGCACTTTTTTGGGGCTTACTTTTGCCAGCAGGACTCCCAATGGCCAGGAAGATGTAGGTGGCGGCTGCGTAGGAGATATTTCACACAAGATAGCATTTCGACCTGGCCACACACTCACTGCGAAGTTGCTGCTTATTTATATAAAGCCACATCAAGAAAGGTGCATGTCAAGTATACAAAGCGCCTGCTCGAAATCCTGTGTTGTAGCTTTCTTCAGCAAGGGCCAAAACAGTTCAAAGTCGGTCTGCTGCATATCCACATCCACGGCTAGTCGTGGCCCTCGTAGTTCCTCCTTATTGTGCATAATACAGCGTGGCATCACAAGATGCACATACTACCTGAATTATGCTGCCAGGTTGCAGTGTCTGGGTGCATCCGCCAATAGTCTGCCAGCATAAAACCAAATTTTTTAGGGTAGGTCCTGGGATCACAGAGTTCGTCAGGCCCACGGGATTGCAGCTCCGGGTAAAATGTAAGGTGGCCAATCTTATGCAGTCTAGGAGCTGGCTTTCTTTGAGGTTCTTTCTCACACCCGTGAACTTTGCTGCAAACCGTGACTTGCTCTCTGAATGCTTAGCCAATCGAATCGTCGTCATTTTCTCGCGGTCCGAATTGCTGAGATATCCTGCTCTTGCAGCAATGCCCTGAAGGAGGGATCGAGCGTTGCTGAAACCCAGATGCGGTTTGACAGTCTGCTGTCCAAAGTGGCCCATGTACCACTTGGTCTGTAATACCTAGGCAATCGATCATGGAAGCTAAGCTGATAGCATTCTACAAGTTTAAATGCAATGATGGCACATAGACTCGTTTCTGAAGAAAGTCCATCCAAGGATGAAAGACGACTGCACTCATCGATGGTTGCTCCAGCAACCAGCGGACTTTGCGGCAGCTGAGCAGCAAGCAAATTAAGCAGATCCGGCCCAACAACAAATTGCCAGTCGCCACAAAGCCGTAGCCAACATTGCCATTAGGGCATATTTCGTCCCTGCCACTGGATGCTCTGCTCCTGAGCTGTAAATTTAAGTCATTTCGGGTACCGAACATATGGCGAGATCCAGTCACAGCCCAGGGGCATGATGGAGAAACTGTTGCAAGGCAGAGCCATGATTGCAAGTCCACCTTCCCGGACCCTTTTGGCTTCATTGATGGCTAGCCTGAGAATGCAAACCCACGGTTGATTAGCTTCTAGCAGAACCTCCACTGCTGTCTAGCAACAGAAAGCCCGCCGGTGTGGTTAGGTCCATACCATGGGGATCAATCGTCAAATCGATTGCGGATCCATGAGCCCCAGCATCCTCGCCCGCACAGCTCGCCCCGACACCCCGGAAAGACCCTGCGATGCTCCTGCCGTAGGCACTGCGACACGTGGCCCGTGCCGGAGAAGAGCTCGATGAAGTCCAGATCCTGGCGTGGCTTGGAATCCGGGTTTAGGGGTATAAGGGTTTAGGGTCCAGGGTTTAGAATTTACCCCTAAAGGGTCACTGTGCTATATCATGCATTTACATCACACACCAAGCAAATTCAAGGGCCGCCACATATACACAAACTTGGATCTGAACCCTCGATCGAGAAGACGGTCCTGCACTTGGTTCGCCGACTCATAGAACCCCAGCATGACAACGAGCAGAATGAAGGGAAGCGGTGCCCCCCATCGTAACATCTCCGCAACCACCATCGTAGCGAGCTTAAGTGAAAAAACACAAGCCCTAAAAGAAAACCGTGTCCACCCCAGCTAGCGGCAACAACCGAATGGCGAACTTAACTATCACCCTGAAGAGTCACCCTAATTCCTCCGAGGCCTACATCCCACAGGCTCAGGCTCAGGACACTTAAAAGTTTGGTGGAGTTCAGGATTTCCGGTTTAGCTTTG